GCAAACTGATCAGAAGTGATTGTGAACACTTCTTTGGTTTGTCCTGTGCTAGATATTGTATCATCCGAAGCGATCGCAGAACAAGTGTCCGAGAGTTCATCCTCTGAGTATATTCCTTCTTGCATTCTCTTGTAATCCCTGCGTCTGATGGCTCCTAATTGGAATCGAGACATCCTTTGAGCAATTCTTGGATTGACTTTTCCTCTCGGGGAAAAGTCGGGATTTGAGTCACTTGAATGCCGCTTAGACTTTCTTTTATCAATCATGTTGATGGTGACTTTAGGGAATTCGTCATCTTGGACAGCTGATCTTCTCTTGCGGAAATGTCTCGACTTAGGCTTCGACATTTCGGTGAAAAGCCTCTGGAACACTGAGACTCTTTGCAGGATGGCTTCTTGTTTGGAGTAGTCACATTCTGATAGTACTGCTCTAATGAGTCGCATACAGAAACAATGAGAGCTCATTTCTCGGATAATCCTCTTTCGAGTTTTGTTCACACCCCCAGCTTGATAGTACAACTCATCGGTATAATTACCGGAGAATCCTATCGTCTGTTGGTATGAGCCCCCAGGTATAACAATGTCTTTTGACGAACATGTCTTCTTCTGAGGATGTAAAGCCTTGTTGGCGTTCTCAGGACAACTTGTTGTCGCATTTGAGCGATCTAAGGTCACGTCAGGAGTCGCATGTTTAGAACCACCCCCTTGCGAGTGCAGAGTCTTAACGGGCTCCTGAGTTTCATTACGAACTCCCAAACGGGTAGAAATTAGAGTTTTCCCATCTTGGAGTTGTTTTGACTTGATAGGAGGATACTTCTGACCCCCAGTGTAAGAATCTATTTGGGGTTCATTCACTGGACCCAAGCGTTCTTTGACCGGAACTTTGCCTCGATCTTCAGGTAAAGGATCAAGGCCATCCGTCATTATAATTTTGGATTTTGACAGGTCAGGATTGACCCAGGGTTTCACTGGTGACACAGCGGGTGTTGACACAGTAAACGGACCCGGAACGGACGTTGATGGAGTCGAAGGAGTGCTCTTGTGAAACTTCTTTTGGCCGCGGCAGTTATTGGTGTCGCGGTCGAACAGTGTGCCGTGGCAGCGGAGACTGTCGCGGTTGAAGGAGATGTCGCGGCAGTGAGGACTGCCACGGTCAACGGTTGTGTTCTGCAGACCTAATTTTCGTACGAGTTTGGATTTGGGGATCCATACTTTGTGATTCTTGGGTGCTTCCTTAGACACTGTTTTCTTCTTTTCTTCTCGTCTTTGTTGTAAAAGAGCACGGTTACGAGCGGCGTTTATACGACGCTTTTGTATACGTTCTTTGAGAGTTGAACGTGCTCTTTTGACGAGGGTCCATTCCTCCGTCGTAAGTTGTGCAGAAATGTGAGTGTTCTGCCCTTGGGACAACTGGTTCACTTTTTGCTTCCTCGACTTTAAGTCCGTATAGTAATGGACTCCGTCGGTTTGTTGTAAAGCCTTGGTCAATTGACAAGCACGACGTTGACGTTGTCTCTGACGAGCCCTCTTTGTCAATACCGGCGCATTTTGGTTTAAAGACCCCTGAACTGGTGAAGGGTCATTTGGAGCAGAGATGTTGCAGGTAGATTCCTGAGCCATGACTTGGCAGGAATCTTCATTTGCGGTCTTCATCTGAATTGAAGACTTGGGAACTTTCTTGGAAGATGAAATCTTCCTGCACTTGCGGGGCGAGGAAGATTTTGAGGATGAGGAAGACAGATACTCCTCGAATTTGGCCTGATCGAACTCATATTCGATCTCTTCAGTGATAATGATCTTAATCGGCTGCGACACTACGGCCTCGGCAGCGAGGCCGCTGCCTCCCACTGTGGTCGCCAGTTTGTTTTCAGCGAAAGTTGACTTCATTGTCGATTCCATTAAAACTTTGATTTGTTTATAGGAAATTACAATGAAAATAAACAAAAATACAACTCTCGAGAAAATAACACAGAAATTGTTTATCAATTCCTGCTTTTGTGGGACTTTGCCTGTGCCGGGAGTGCTTTGGCTCGTTGACCACTGATTCACAGATTGTGAGGGTGTTTAGAGATCTTTCCTTCGTTTATCGAAGTAAAGATTTGAAAGCAAATATCTTATCGATGTAAGATATTCACTCTTCCAAAGATCAAGTCTGAGCTTAGATCTCTAGGAATCACCAAATGATGCTTGTCAAAGGGTGAAAATTCTCTCTTTCTTCCTCGAAATCACCAAAAGCTCAAGCCTTCTCTGCTCCAATCTGCCCTTTAACCACCTTTTTCGTGGTTTAACTGCTTGTCCACGTCAGCACACGTTCTATCTTTGATATGCCGTCACGTGGGTTTCAAATAATCATCGTATAACTGCCTTGTAACCACCATAGCACCCCCTATAATAGCCGCTGCACCCTAGGCTGCCGCGTCTTAGCCGCGGCACCATATGCTACCGCGCCATAGCCGCGGCACTATGAGCTGCCGCGCCTTAGCCGCGGCACCAAGTGCTGTCGCGCCTCAGCCGCGCCGCCATGTACTGCCTGTTGGTGTGTACATTGTTCTTCTGTGTTGTCTCGCTTCCTTTGAATGATCCCCTCTGATTAAGAGAATGGCTTTTATCATCTTCTCTTTGTCTTGAGTGGTATTTAGATGCCTGTAAGCATTTTTTGACGCCTACAGGAGGGAGTGTACAAATCTATAGGTCTTGATGGTTTTAAGACTTTTTGACTTTTTCCAAAGAGTTTGGCTGCATAACATTTTATTTTTTGCCATCCACAAGCTATTTTCCCTTTAAAAAATATTGATGTCCTTATGTGACTCCAAATTTCTATCAGAAAAGGATGCTCAAATTACGGGGGACATATTAAAGTATCGAATAGGTTAATTGCAAATAGACCCTTATAGTATCATCCTACAGTGAATAGACCCCAAATAGTTCTATTTTTAAAAATAAACCTCCTGAGTGAAATTTTTCCACTTAAAATTGATAGAAAGGTTTAAGGAGGTGGATAGATCCATTATAGTTCTATTTGTAAAAATAGACCGCCGATTGCTACTCTAAACTTTAAAAGCGTCGAAAACGTTCACTAAGAAGGTTTATTTTTACTTGGGCTGGTACTATTGAGGGCCCACAAATAAAACTACAGGAGGTCTGTTCACAAGTGGGTGATATTGTTTGCAATTAACCCTTTTTTAAAATCTGCTTGGAAACTTGTCGCCACCATCCTGGGCTAGTTATCCATTGAAAGATAAGATTTTATCAAAAGATGAGGAGGAGGACAGAGCCAAAAAACACATTGAAAGATTGTGCAGAAATTCGTGCTTATCAGTTAGTTGGAAAACCTTAGCGACGCAAAACAGTTTCTGATAATGTTTTGAGAAGTACTTTTGTGCACAATATGAGAATCATTATGTTTTGTGCAACATGATGTTATATGACCTAATTTCTCCAACTTGAGAAGTAATTATTTGCACATGATGTTATAGGTCGTATTTTCTCCAACTTGAGAAGTAACTGTGCCATTTATATTCAATTTGGGTGATTTTTTTTTGGGAGGAAATTGAGTGTTATGTAATAGTCTCTTAAAAAAAAGGTCTGCAATGTACATTACGAGCAATTGTTTATACTATCCAGGGTTTTCTGATGATTCCAATGAAAAAAATTGCAAAAATTATGTCTAGTTTCTACAAGAAACATGCAATAATCTGTTAACAATCATAAAAATATTACATACACAATAGTCTTCATGATAGTATACATTGGAGAGATTTTAAATGGACAGAGCTTGTCACCTAGGATTTTTAGTGGTTACATCATCCTTTTATTTGCCCAAACAAACAAGGTAATTGCTTGGAAGCTGCTGCAGCTTGGTACCTATATTAACTTCAAGCAAAAATTGCCCAACCAAACAAATCGTTAGCCTTCTGTAGGCTGAAAGGGATTTGAATCCTCTCCACTACTAAAAAAGTAACGGATGAACCAATACTCAATCATAATTATGAGATATCTAGTGGATGGCTGTGATTTTTTCATGAGTAAATATAAGAAAACACTCCTTAACTTTGGACGATAATAAAAAAACTCCCGTTAACTTTCAAAATATCAAAAAAACCCCGTAAGTGTGGAGATTATCACAAAACCTCCTTTAATTTTTAGAGCGTATAAAAGAAACCCATTTATCTTTGAGATTTAGAGTAGTTCTGATATTTTGAAAATTAAGAGGAGCTTTCTGATAATCGTCCAAAATTAAGAGGGTTTTATAATAATTATCCATTTTTAGCGTAAATTAGAAACGAAGGTAATACAGCTAACGTTAGATTTAGAATAATGTCACACTCAGCCATTAGGTAACAAATTAGCTAAAATAAGAAAGGTTATTTTAGTCTTAATTTTAAATATCTTTCTTAATCTATCTTTATATAGAAAAACGAATGATTACTGATTTGAAGAACGAGAAATTTAAGGGCTTAACAACTAATCTATCTTTATATAGAAAAACGAATGATTACTGATTTGAAGAACGAGAAATTTAAGGGCTTAACAACTACATCATACTATATAATTAAAAGAACGAGAAATTTAAGGGCTTAACAACTACATCATACTATATAATTAAATTTTTTAAAAAAGGAAAAAAATAGGAGGTACCTTTCATGGCGTTCTCTTTCTCTTCACGAGATTTTTTGGAGTCAGACTAGTTTCTTCTAATGGAAAGTGTGGAGAAAAGCTTCGGTTTTAATAGTTAATTAAAGAATTCTAATTAATGATAAATTATGTTTCTCCCATAAATTATATTTCCTAAAATAACCTTTCTACCCATAGTTAATTATAATTTTGGGTGTGGAACACTTCATAACCGTCAAATCTATCTACCTAGAATTGTGAGAGCTATTTTAAAAAAATTTATTTACGGATATGCCATCATTGCTCTAACTAATCTTTATGGAGCATCCAAGCTGTAGGCTTAATTTAATAGTTGAGAATCTTGAGATTACAGTTAGCCTGAAACACTCCAAACAGCAAACACCGACAGAATCCTGACTCCATTCCGTTTCTTCCGCCCTAAGCTCGAGCTTCGCGCCCTGCGAATATCATCGCCCTCGACCCTTACCGTCCCAAGAACCCAGCTTTCTCCAGTCTCTATTCAAAAACTCTAGTTTCCCCAAAAAATATCTAATGGGGGATCGGTGGAAATCCCTCTACTTCACCCGTAAGAGGAGGCGCCAAAGGGAGAATGACCCCCAGAAGCCGGCGGTACGTATTTACTTAAATCTAACCCTCTTCAGTTCATTGATTCACCTCTTAGAGGTTATTATTGTGTTATATTGATTAATTTCCCCCTTCTCATCCTGTTGTATTTCGATGTTAGTCACTAAAAGTTATCACGGTTGTTTCTTTAGTTTGATTTCTTAAGAACGGGGCATAAAATTAAGTTGCGCTAAATTTTCTAATTTAATGGTTGTTATAGGTTGCCTCAAATATACAAGTCCATATCGTTTTGGGAGTTTCTTTTTAGGTTGGTTTGTTTTGATCAGGTGCTCTACTTACATTAGACTTTGCACAACCAATCATATTAGAGGTTTATTTCTACTTGGACTCTTGTTGGGTTTTAGGACATGTGGACTTTTATTTCTTTTAGAACTCTTATTCCTTAGACATCAATGAGTTAGGATCTTCAAGTCTATATAAGAACAGTCTTTCAAGCTAATTAGATGCATCAATCTTCAGAGCACTAATCAAGAAGAGAGAGTTCTTTTGTGAAGCATATTTGATAATTTTCTCTTTTGTTCCTTTAGTTGAGAGTTATATTAGGCTTTTGGGGTGTTATTTAGGATTGAGTGATTGAGAGATTCAAAGATTCCACTTTGTATTCTTCACAATTAGTAAAACTTTTCTCCTCATTCGCCCGTGGACGTAGGCTACAAGCTGAACTGCGTATATCTTTGTGTTCGTGTGTTCTTGATATTTTTCGTGTTTTCGTGTGATTGATGTTAGCTTATCATGGGGAATTTATCATAACAAATTGGTATCAAAACTTTCAGCTATCGATCAGACGAGAAGATGACGCCAACTACTATGAAGTGGGATATCGAGAAGTTTGACGATAATATCAGTTTCAGCCTTTGACAAGTTAGGATGATTGTCGCGTTGACACAGAGTGGATTGAAGAAGGCTTTGTTCGAGAAGTCGAAGAAACTGACTACTATGACGGAGGAAGATTAGAACGAGCTGGATGATAGAGCTCTCACAGCGATCCAGTTATGTTTGACAAACGAATTTTTGCAAGAAATTTTCACGGAGAAGACAATCGCTGATTTGTGGTCTAAATTGGAGGATTTGTATTTGACGAAGTCGCTCACTAATCGCCTCCTCTTGAAGTAGCGTTTGTACACACTTTGGATGTCGGAAGGAATACCCATCAAATCTCATATTAGTGAATTTAATTCTGTAATTACAGATTTGAGTAAGGTTGATGTTAAGATCGATGATGAAGATCAAGCCCTATTGTTATTGTGTTTTTTTTTCCGCCTTCCTACAAGCACTTCAATGATACTATGATTTATAGTCGAGATTCTATTGGTATCATGGACGTCAAAGAGAACTTATTGAATAAGGAGAAGATCGACAAAGAGTTGATCACAAGTGAAAGTGGTGATAAAGCTGATAGCTTGTTTGTTCGAGGAAGATCGGCGGAAGAAATGGGCTTTGGAGGTAACATGCATAAGTCGAAGCACAAGAATCTGATCTGCAGATATTGCAAGAAGAAAGGGTACATTAAGACCGATTGTTACAGATTGAAGAACAAAAATAAACAAGAAAAGTATGAAGAGAAATCAAAGGAGGACTCTGCTGAAGTTGATATTGCTGAAGATGTGATTTTGTTGGCTACAAATGATATAAACAGGAGCATGGATGATTAGATTTTGGATTCGGGTTCCTGTTATATGTGTCTTAATCGGGACCGCTTCACTACTTATGAAGCTATTGATGGTGGTGGTGTTCTTATGGGGAATAACGCATCATGTAAGATTATTGGGAAAAACACAATTCGGATTAAGATGCATGATGGAGTCATCAGAACTTTAACAGATGTTAAGCATGTTCCAGGTTTAAGGAAGAATCTCATATCTTTGGGCACTCTTGATGGTATTGGGTGCAATTTTTTAGGTGAAGGTGGAGTTCTTAGGGTTACAAAAGGCTCTATTGTGGTTATAAAAGAAAAGAAGATTGGCAGTTTGTATATTTTGCAAGGTTCTATCGTTATCGGCTTGACTGCAGTTGCATCGTTGATGTCAGGAGTTGATACTATCAGATTATGGCATATGAGATTTGGTCATATGAGTGAGCACGGATTGACCGAGTTGAGTAAGAAGGGTCTTTTATGTGGACAGAGTACAGAAAAATTAGAATTTTGCGAGCATTACATCTTTGGGAAGCAGAAAAGAGCCAGCTTTAGTACGGTAGTGCATCAGACTAAAGGTATTTTGGATTATATCCATTCAGATCTTTAAGACCTTCTCAAGTTGCCTCGAATGGTGGTAGTTCCAGATATTTGTTGACCTTCATTGATGACTACTTCAGGAAGGTCTGAGTCTACTTTTTGAGACATAAAGATGAGGTGTTTGTGACTTTCAAGCAGTGAAAGTCTTTGATTAAGAAGCAGACTGGGAGGCTGATTAAGAGGCTTAGAACTGATAATGATCTTGAGTTTTATGAAGGGGAATTTAATGAGTTCTGCAATGAGGGAATCGTTAGACATCGTACAATCCTTCACACGCCGCAACAGAATGGAGTGACAGAACGTATGAACAAAACCCTATTAGAGAAAGCTAGTTGTATGATGATCAATGCAGGTTTAGGTAAGGAATACTAGGCGAAAGCAGTGAATACGACTTATTACTTAGTAAATCGGTCGCCATCTACTGTTATTAGTAGTAAAACTCTAGAGGAGGTTTGGTCCAATAAGCCTGCGGATTATTCTAATATTAGAATATTTGATTGTCCTGCATATGCGCATGTTAGTCAAGGGAAACTTGAGCCGCGAGCGAAGAAGTGCATATCCCTAGGTTATGCATTAGGTGTTAAGGGTTTTAGGTTGTGGCGTCCTAATCCAAAGTCTCCTAAGATTATTATTAGCCGTGATATTAAGGGTTTTAGGTTGTGGTTGCCTCAAATACTCAAATCCATATTGCTTTGGAAGTTCCTTTTTAGGTTGGTTTGTTTTGATCAAGAGTCCTACTTACATTAGACTTTGCACAACTAATCATATTAGAGGTTTCTTTCTACTTGGACTCTTGTTAGGTTTTAGGACATGTGGACTTATATTCCTATTTGAACTCTTATTCATTAGACAAAAAGGAGTTGGGATCTTCAAGGTTATATAAGAACAGTCTTTCAAGCCAATTAGATGCATCAATCTTCGGAGCACCAATCAAGAAGAGAGAGTTCTTTTGTGAAGTCTATTTGATTTTCTTCTCTTTTGTTCCTTTAGTTAGAGTTGTATTAGAGTTTTGGGGTGTTATTTAGGATTGAGTGATTGAGAGATTCCACTTTGTATTCCTCACAATTAGTAAAGTTTTTCTCCTCATTCGCCTGTGGACGTAAGCTACAAGCCGAACCATGTATATCTTTGTGTTCGTGTGTTGATATTTTCCGTGCTCTCGTGTGATTGATATTAGCTTATTCTGGGGAATTTGTCATAACAATGATGGTGAAGCTACAACATGTACAACTGTTGGCTGTAACAATTTGGGGGTGACAACGTTGCAAGACTATTACATCAAGTTAGTTGATTTCAAATAAAAAGATTTAGATCTTCAACATTTACAACAAATGGTTGTCACGCGCTAGGTCCGCGAGCCCGTTGGCACGATGTAAGTCTTGAGACATACTGAGTGCAACACATGGTTTGACTCAATCTATTGCCAAAATTGACCAGTCAATGTTGCACTTGACTCAATTGGACTTACTTTATAAACTATTCAATTACTCAGTCAATATCCAATCAATATCCGATGTGAGACTAAATCTTGGGGCGTTACATGACGTCCTTGTTTTGGTATGACAATTGGTTTGTCCTAGTATCACCACCAGGCAATATGAACTCTAGAGGTGGCTCCCACTGTAATACTGAACTCCATATTTCCAGCTTGCTAGTTGCTTTGATACTATTTGTCAGACCTCGGTCCTGCAAGCCCGTTGGTGCGATGTAAGCTCTGGGACCAATTGAGTGCAACCCATGGTTTCGCTCAATCCACTTCGAAAATTGACAAGTCAATGAGCCAAACCATGTATTACACTCAATGGGTCTCACAGTTTACGTCGAGCCAACATGCTTGCGGGTCCGGGGCGTGACAATTTACATTGGAAATGTTGGATATGTTCAAATTTAATTGAAATGAAACTACATCCAAAAGTGCAGTTAAATTGCAGTCAAACTTTAGTCAAAACTGCCGTCAAACTGCAGTTAAAACTGCTGTCAAGAACTGCAGTTTAAAAAGTGGCAGACTGCAGTTTCTGAAACTGCAAAAATGCAATTTTGCCAACCGCCGGAAATCTGTTTTCAAAATTGAAATCCTGCAACCACCAATTTGAGGCCTCTATAAAGGGAGGGATCCCATTCATATTTGATGCTAGAAAAGAAAAGTAGGAAGAAAGATATTGATGAGGGAAGTAGAAATCTCTTCTGAATTCTATGAACTAGAAAGATTGTGATCTCCTTGAAGTTACTCTAATATTATCTCTGTGTTGACAAAGTTTCAGAATGATGTATTGGCCTGCAACCAATAATTATTACAGAATAATAATTTGGAAGGCAAATTTGTGGTAACCTTTAGATATTGGGGCAAATATTGTCCGAGGGAAAATGAAGTCCCTTGATTCAGGTGTTAGAAACATTACTTCTAAGTCCACTATAATGAAACTAAATTTCTAACAGGAATTACATTTCCCACCACAAGCTATGCAAATCCGATAACTTTTGCTAATTACCGAACAGAGTTTGAATTTGGAAATGCATCTGCTACAATAAATCTCAGATACGCATAAGATAGATTTGAGCTTAGTTTCATCCAACGAATCTTTTTAAGGTTATAGCCGTGACACATTTTTAAGCACATTTATAAGTAAAAGAGATATATTTGACTGTGCTAGAAGAAAGATTATCACATTCAGTAATCAGTAGCATAAAAAAAAGAATTCACAGTCAAATGTTTGAGAAAAAAAAAATCAAATGAACAATTAAAAGGACAACAATATGAAGGTATGTTAGGCGATACCAATGATGGAGTTATATTGATGAGGAGAACACCATTCAAAATCTACCCAAAATGGATGAGGAATGAGTCTGAAAATAAAAATTCTCGAGTCATATAAAAAATATGACGATACTTTCTCTTAGAAACACCATTTTGTTCATGAGTATGTATGAGTTTTTTGGGACATAGTATGATGTGATAGCCAAAGTTGTGTTACTTCATAACTTGCGTTTTGAGAATAAAGGGTAGGCTCTGCGATGAAACCATAAATACAAGCTCAAAGTTGGTCGTCATGTGCAAAGAATGGGCAGAGAAGGGTTACATGTTTGTCTATGTAGTCATTTGCATGAGCCATGTACGAAAGATAAGTTGGATGTGTTAGCATGTGTATGTTATGCCCAAAAAAGTCATGAAGTCCCTCAATTTATGTAGCTTATCGTTTAAATATTATAAGTAGTTTTTCTCAATTTAGGAGGTAAAAGCCATTTTGCATGTTCGATAGGTGGTTATAGTTGACTCTGCTAAGAAGGCATGCATAAAAAAGTGCACAACTGAAAATAGAACCGATATGGCTGATGCTCATGGAGGTTGTACTATAGCATCCGTACCCGTACAGTTCAATTCCAAGGACGAAGGTACAAGTTGTAATGTGACGACGTCTAAGAAAAGTGATGTATTGAAAGCTTGCTTACGAGCTTTTGAGGAAAAGAAGGATGAACTGGTATGCACTTCTCCTTGTGGTTTGGTTTGCAAAACCTTTCTTATTTCTCTTATTTTAATGTATTAAAAGTTTTATGGCTTATAATTTGTTCGAACCTTTTTCTTTTATATAGTGTCGGCAACAACACTTGCTTGAAGATGAGATTGCTCGCTGTGAAATGAACATACAGACCATTTTGAGTGGTACGGTTCTTCTTTACTTTGGGCAACATATTATCTCTTTTATGTCCCATAGTTATTTTCTCATAGTTATCCTCAAAGGTATAAGATAGGTTAATAAAGTTATAGGCAATCCTATAATGAAATAATATTTACCTAAATCATTATAATAACCAATTATAAATAAAAGTAGACAGTGGTATGCTTATAATTAAGCTAATGCTAAAAGTTCAAGGATATTAAATATACGATATGGTAGTTGATGTTATATAATTTTCTGGAAAATAGTCTATATTATATTGGATGAAAAGAAGTGACAAACGTCAAATTTCAAAAGGGTGAAATAATTGTCTCTGATTTACGCTTTGGTCCCATCTCTCATTTTTATATATGCTCTCTTCTTACCTCTATAAACTCTGAAAGCGATCTGAAATAATAAATTATTTACATCTTAGTTGACTTCATATGGGATGAAAACATTTACCTTCCTGAGTCATGAGCTTAGAGTAAAAATTTCTTTAGCCAGTTCGTAAAATGTGAATACAAAGAAGATTTTTATCATGTTATGTCCTACTTAAATTCCTAGATGGAAGAGAAACAAAAGGTTTTGGTTCTAAGTTTTGGAGCCAATAGTTTCTTTCTGGTATTTATCCTTTTACCTTTTAGTCCCTTTCTTTCCATGTCTTAAGCTTTAGTTGTCAGTACATTAGTAGGGGAAACTTGAATTTAGCATTTCATTCTTATGTCCTCTGTACAAATAACATAGAGATGTTTACTAAAAAAATTATTGACTGTTACCTCCAATAAAGGTGAAGAGAACTGGATGCAGAAAGTTGAGACAATAATTGAAGCACTCAACAGTTCATTTTCTAGTGGAGTGCAAGGGCCATCTTCAACACATCCATTCCAGGCAAGTGGTATCCAAATGTTTTATACATAGTTTGTGCTGGAATAATTTCTAAAGAATATGGAAGAAGTAGTTCCAGCACATCTAGGTTACGTGGACACTTCATCTTGGCTCCCGTATCCGTGTCTGACATATCTTGTGTCGATGTTGGACGCTCCTTGAACACTTCTTGAGTATATACATACATTTATGCAGACACGTGCTTTTGTGATTATGCTTTGCCTTTCCAGTATTCATTTGGAATTAATTATCTATAATTTGTATTGTGCATTTGATGGAACTTTGAAAGCATGACTTGTTGAGTATCTGATTACTGCTCATTGCTCTTGATGAGAAAAACAAGCAGGGAATTGATATGTTGTGCATCCTTTCCCTCTCTGCTCGAGAACAGGTTACCTGTTGTTGAGTAACCAAATATTTGATGTGTGAAATTTTGCGACGGTTTAGCTCAAACTTTGGGTAGAAGCTCTATCACCAGTTATAAGAACTTCAATAGTAACATGAAAACCCAACTAGTCATACTAATTTTTGTATTATCATTGTTCAAAAGAGACATAAATCATACTGGTTTTCTGTTAAGTTTCTGTATGGCACTACTAGATTACATAGTACTATGTCACTCTGCTGTTAACCTCATTTTGAGATTTCGAATTATAACTGCTCAAGCTCGGAGATGTATATTTGGTATTATTAACTTATTAGTATTATATGCCGACTGTCAGACCAAAGCTTGGTTAATTCTGAAATATTTTACTTGCCTTGGGAGTGACATGAAGGGATCGTTATTCTCCATTTAGATGATTTCATCAACTTATTAAAATGCCTTGTGCTTACAAAGCTATGGGTTGTACTTCAGGTGCAGCAGTGATGGTGATTTTCAATAACAACACCATTGAAGTTCAGAAGACCACGAAATCTCATGCTCAACTATGGCATGCAATCGAACATGTAACATCTCATGTTTTAATTTCAATAAATTTATTCTGAATTATGCGAAATCTGAGTTGAGAGACAATGGAAGCTTGCAAGTGTACTAAAGCATTCTGAACATCTTGGCTATTACAGACAATGGAATCTTGAGGTTAATACAGTTTAAAATCAAGGCACAAAATTGGGAATTTGGAATTTAAAGTCATCTGAGTGAACTTCGCTAATAGACTCAGCGAAATTCGCCCAAATGCGGAGCGAAATTCGCCCAAATGCCGAGCGAACATGCAATACATCCATGCAAGTACCGTTAACAATTGCGTAGGGCCGTAGCTGTGATGAAGAAACTTCTGAGTTGATCGTAAACGCTGGACTCCCATGAAATACATGATAAATTTCACAACACTATCGTGAATCATTTCGGATTTCGCACAAAGTATCATAAATTATTTTTTAAAGAAAACCCTACAAACTTTTTCCACTAAAGTATCACAATTAGTATATGTTGGTGTAAGTTGTTCTGTGTTACACATGTACATATTTGGCACATTTTCACTTTTATTAGTTATATAACTGCTTTCTCACCGTCTCTCTCTTCTTAGTTGTGATGAGAAATGGTGTTAATGCCGTTAAAGTAATCTTCTTTATAGTTGTTTTTTTTTCTTTTGAAAATTTAGAAATCTGCACGGTATTTTTCTCTAATAAAAAAAATATATTTTTGAGAGAGATGTATGTACCATGCAATTTGTGCTAACTCTGTCATAACATTTACTTGAGAAGTAAGTTTTAAAGGATGAATTGGTCCTTACCAAGAATATCAAATCCAATGGATCTATATATTAGAAACGTATGGAGAATGAATCTTGCCATGGAGTGATACGTCCAAATTCTTCATCATAGAGTAACTCGTGGAGCATCTCGTGGAGCATAAAACAAAGAATTATTTAGTTACATGAATATTATATGAAGTTTTAGAAAAATTAATTGTTTGAGGGTCCTAATTTTGAAACCTGAAGGATAATTCTGTATCTTTAGCATATCAATATGTCTCAACTTTGTGTTTATAAATGTTGGCGCCTGTGATTAAATCTGGAATAAAACAGATATAAACCAAAGAGAATTGAAAGAAAGCTGAAGTGCTATATTTTAAAACTTATTCAAGTTACCTGCTGTGCGTTTGTGAAACGATGTGCTTAAAGCAATATTTGGCATACTCCGATGCAAGGATCCCAAGGCCAAACTGCTTCCAGGAATAACAGTACAGTACAATGATGTGCACCAACCAAGTACTATTAAGATCTCCTCGATCTATGAGACCTTTCAGTCAAGGCAACAATCTCCTCGATCAGTTAAACCTTTTTGTTCAAAACCTTTCGGTTTAGGCAAAGATTTTTCGATCTGTAATAACCTTTTGGTTCAGGCAAAAATCTTTCGATCTGTAATAACCTTTCGGTTCAGGGCCATATTCCTTCGGGCACAGACTAAAGCTTGCACGCTTTTAAACTCTGTAGCAGCAGCAGCACAACATATTAACAGATTCAATATGTTCAAGTTTTACAACACTTCAGTGTGTTTTTCCTTCCCAAGAGTTGCCCCAAGGAGCACTATTTATAGGCCTCTAAGGCCATCTCAATGGTCACCCACAGTCAATTTGACTGTTACAAATCATAATGACAATTATGATTGTAACAACAAATGACTTAATTGCTCTAACTGCTACATGCAGTAACGCCTGAACGATAGGATCGTGTTGCGCCTTGCGAACACGAGGCTCGCACCCTCTCGCGAAAGTGAGGGTCACGTCGTGCCTCGCGAGGGTCGCACCCTCGTGCGAACGCGAGGGTCACCGCAAACGCGAGGGTCGCTCCAGCCTGCGTGGCGGCCAACATGGCGCCAAAGGGCGCCACCTAGCCCCGATGCATCCGTACGAAGTGCGCCTTACAAAGCGCCACTTAGCGCATCAGCCTGATTAGTCCCGGTTCCCGGCCCATTGGCCCACAGACCACGGCCCACTAGTACTTATGAGAGATTAATTGATTTATTTAAGACAAAACAATTCTCGGCTTGCCTACGGCAAGCCTCGAACTCAGAACATTTTGAAACACCAAAACATTTACTTTTCACTACGCTATTAAGGATTTCTAAAAAATATCAGTAGTTAGTAAATATATAGTTTGAAAACTTATTTTGGAAAGCGGGAGCTTTGCTACAGGGACCCAAAATATGGGACCAATAGGTGGGACAAGTGAGGTGTCCCCTTCCTATTGGATAATGAGTTGGTCATCATTAATGATGGCCAACTCATTATCCAATAGGAGGGGGACACCTCACTTGTCCCACCTATTGGTCCCATATTTTGGGTCCCTAAGGAATTTTTCTTCCAACAAAGGGTAGAAACTGTTTAGCTTCTGAGGTTCTCTTCTCTTATTACTTTTCTTCATATTATTACTCTAACACAACTCTCTCAATTTATTGCAAGAAATGTTTAGTAGCAATCTTTACTTGAATTGGGACACGTAGTAAATACTGTATTGAAGAACTCAAAGAATCAATTAAAAGTGCATATTTGTTGCACCAGAACTGATAACCATGTAAATGTTGTTACGTACGCACATATCAAAACAAAGAGTTATTGTGCATACTGTGCAATATCACAATATTAATTCCGTGAACTGGGATCAAGTCCAAGAAGCAGAACCCCAATAACGAGAGAATGTTCGCCTACAATATATAAACCAAACAGTGTCCTGGGAAGTTCGCAGAGAAGTTCAGATGAGGAGGGAGAGAACCCCTACTCGAGATAAACATCTAGTTTTCGAAGCACAAGTTAACGACCAGTAGTTAATGACATGATAGATCTTATCATGATAACGCACCTTCCCAAAAATAACATAACATGATAGATTTTATCCTATCCTATCCTATACCGAAGCTATGCTCGTATTCACCTACCCCAAAATAGTGTTCAGTGTTCACCTATCCCCTGCTAAAGTATTCACCTGCCTCCAAATAGTGTTCACCTACCCCCATGAGAAAACTTATAAATACCCCCATAAGTTTGATTTGTAAAGTATCTCAGTAGCAGAGAGAGAAAGAGAAAGATACATATATAAGTAATATCATCGAGAGATCTTGAGAGAGAGTTTGTGAGAATTCTTGGAGAGTATCTTGATCAAGAGAGGGTGTTCTTTTTTATCTTTTTTCCTTTGTAACCTCGAAAGGAATATAAAGGAATTGGTCGTCGTCGTTGCACCGTGGAGTAGCTCCGTAAGAATGAACCATGTTATATCTGTGAATACTGTGATTTACTGGTTTTAATTTGATCTGTGAGTATACTGTGATTTGCTGATTCCAATATCTAAGTCATCAGAGCCTCTTCCTCGAAAAAAGATATCCTCTATGAAGAAAATTCAGAAAGGTTTCCTGGTAATTTAAGTAGTTCTGATATTTTTTGGCATTTACTTTTCATATTTAACTACTTTATTATGAAAAGCGTATTAATTTATATGCTGCAGGGGGGGAAAAGTTACTCGCCGCCAAATGGCTAAGTATCTTCGGAAGGTGGTAGGAGACGATGATCTGATTGTTTCATGCATCAAGGCCTATACTAATGAGGTATGGTTTCGAGTTCAAATTACTTTCACAAAATCTGCATACTAATGAGGTATGGTTTCGAGTTCAAATTTATTTCGAACCTTTTATAAGAAAAAAAAAACCGTATGATTGTAAAACGAGGTATCCAAAGCATATAATAAAATTTCTGGCTATACCTTTTATGTGCTAAATTTTCAAGCCGATTGAGATATTATTTCATTTGGTTTAGTCCTCCGATAATATTTTTTCTAGCTTTTCTCTGTAATCGGCCATTTAATGTTAAAACACATACACACGAACTGTTCTCCTCATGGCTGTCTTTGTAATTGAGTAAATATAGTATCGCCTGCGGCTTCAAAATACCATTTAGTTCTTTACTTCTAAACATATTAGATATATATTTATTTAGTAAAAAATTTTCTCATGTTTTTTTTCCTCAGAATAGTACCAGTGTGGGAGATGCGATCGGTCTTAGATTACTGCATTGCGTCAAAAGAGAAAGTTCTTAGTCTCGATGGTTTTATCTTTACAATACTTGTTACTGGAATTGGCCAAAATTTAAATCTATGAATATAATAAGTTCGTTCTGATTCTTTTTCATTCTGGGTTCAAGGTTCTTACTGACTTAAAATTTCCGGATGTGTTTCAAATAATTCATGGCTGAGGATTTCAGCTCTGTTGTCTCTCTAGACTACATGATTCTAATTATTCCAAACATTAGAAAACACGCCAAATGTTATATTATTGGGAGGTGCGAAGCTGAGGAGAGAAGGAGTAACCTGAGAGGGTTAGAGCTGAAGAGATCTTGGGATACATTGGCAAATGCTTCAGTTTTATGTCATCCTGTATCATACTAAAGCAATTACAAGTGCAATGGATGTTTAAAATTTGCGTCGGCAGTTAATTAGAGGTTTTTGGTTACAATGGTCTAAAGTCCGGAAACAACTCCAGACAAATGCCAACCATATGATCAAATATACTATGATAAGGATTTTAGTCATATATGATGAGACTTAGGGGGGTGCATTCGGTCCGGATATGGCTCAGATATGATACTTATTGTACCCATATTCGCTTACCCATCGCAGATATGGATACGGATAGGATAGACATCGATAAGGAAAATTCAAATCAATATCCACTAAAGTCAGATACGAATACAGATATTCATGCGGATATATAAGCAGATATATATGCGGATACAAAAACGGATATGAGAAAACTAGACAGTGGTAAAAAATATATAGTTTATGTGATACAAAAGAGTTCGTTAATATGCTCATTTTATCTGAAAAGCTAAGAATAGACATCTTGATCATCATACTTAACCCCAAATCGATAAACTAAGGATTAAAACTATCGTAACAGTATGACTAATATGTTTTACGATATGGATCTGAATATTTCACTGTAAAACCCTATCCATAACCATAGGCATGTCCAAAAAGCCCGTCGGCCCGAGCCCGGCCCGGAAACCCGGGCCACGCTAGGCTCCGGTTCCGGGTCCGGGTACGGGTGGCACCCGGCCCGGAATAAGGCTGACCGGGGCAACAAATCAGGGCCGGGCCCAGATTCAGATCCTAGCATCATAGTTTCACTTTCAACAACATAAACTGAAGAATGAACTGCATGAATCATGATTAAACTAAGCTTGAAGGGATTAACTGAAAACTATGCATATTGCTATGTACACCTGGAACTCAGAGTGACAATACTACATATCATAATGATACCCAGAGTTGATAATTCTAAGAAGCAAACTAACAATTTATTGAATAGATTATAGAAGGCACCTAGCTTATTGCTTAAATAAATAATGAGAGAATTTCACTTACAACATCTAAGCAAAACAATGTGTTGGAAGGGATACAGCAAAGTTCAGTTGAGTGAAGCACTCCTTGAAATGAAATCTAGTTTTCAAAGCACAAAGTAAAAACCATACTTAACAACATGAAAGATTTAAACCTGGTAATGCATCTCACTCAAATAAAGATCAACTCGGCATAAAATGATATGAATAAAAAGATGAAGAAGGGGGCAATCTTAATCAGATACCTGAAATTGCAAATATATCCTACACCAAGTATATGCTAGTAACCTCTGGCATCAGAAACGATGTGCAAAATAACACAAAAAAATGACTATAAAAGCTTACTATATGATCAAGTCTGTCCTAGTGCATGATAAACTGTAAAAGACCGTGTAAACATGCAAAAAAAAAAAAAAAACAGTTTCATAATCCAAATGAAAATATGCCAAGCTCAAAAACCCAAGAACATGCAAGAGATAAAATGTGAATATTTATTTGTAAACATCAACATAAAATTTTACCACCAGATTTCATGACACTATTTACTGGTTATTAACAAGCATTAGTGTTTTGAGCATTCTTGGAACTCCTATCTTTGTCAAAATTCAATCACATTAACCTCGTCCGAAATTGTCATATTCAATGAGTAGGGACTTTCAGATTAAATTGTCTTACTCAATTTACAAATAATCCCTGTCCAAAATTTTCAGAACCATTAAAATTCCCAGTATCAATATGAACTAGCTAAGCTTGTATTTATTTATCCTTTTTATTTTCTTTTGATCAATTATTAGCTTTTAAAATTGGAACTCCTATCTTTGTCAAAATTCAATTGTATTCACCCTAAATTGTATTAACCCTAAATGATTCTTGAATGGTATTAGAGTAATATACTTCAGAATGCACTGGGTTTGCCCTTCCTTCAAAAGCTGGAGGCTATTTCACTTTTTAGTAATTATGGACAAAGCTGAAATATGACCTATTAGATACTGGGTAAAATTGTTTTTGAGAAGGATGTATATACCATGTGAACTGTCCAAATTCTTTGTCCTAATAACACTTGAGAAATAAGCTTTAAAGCATGAAATAGTGTCCTTGCCAAGAATATCAAATCCAATGCCCCTCTTGGATACTAGATATATCAGGAGAATGCATGAACCATGGCATGGGGTGCTATGTCCACATTCTTTGTCATAGAGTAACTTGAGGAGCATAAATCAAAGAATTAAATTAGTTACATGAACATTATATGAAATTAGCAGTTGAGGCTCCTAATTTTAAAACTTGAGGGATAGTTCTGTATCTTTTAGCATATCAGTATATTTCAACTTTGCGCTATAGATACCATTAGTCTATATAGTTGCTACCATCTGCAACACATCCAACAAAAGCATAGAAAGTTCTAAGATTCTCCTCTTATCACTCTTTCTCCTTGTTAAGGACATGATTGCTTATAGCATTATTTGAATTAAAGACTATGCAGGTATACTAAATTGAGGATGAAAATTTTCTATTTCTATTTTACCAATTTGTGTTAATGCTTCAAATTCTTGTTAGTTTTTTATTCAATTGTCAAGCGATATTAGAAGCTTGAAGTTTAAAATTACAGATCTTTGGCTTATAGATAAATATCTACTGGATAGACTCCTCGTTATATCATTAGTTTGTTTTTCCAACTTTTTCAGATGAAAAATAAATTCAAAATAAGAAAAAATAGTTTTGACATTTTTGGACATTTATTTATTATATGTAGCTACTTTATTATAAACTGATATTATAAATTTATTTGATGCAGGAGAAAAAATTCAATCGTCATCAAATGGTTAAGTACCTTAGAAAGGTTATAGGTGGTGAGGATTTGATTGTCTCATGCATTAACGCTTATATGCCAATAAGGTATGGTTCTGAGTTCAAATGCTTTTCCAAGAATTGCATACTTAAGATAGAAAGCAGGTGAAATATCTATTAGAAGGTCAATGGTGCTAACCATGTGCTAATATCTTAATTTGAATTATGCTATCTGTTTTAGATACACTAATAGTTACAAAGTGTTATAGCATTTGAAATAAAATCTTCTACTTATTTGTACAAAATTAACATGCTTTGGATAAGATTGAAGACTTTTCTAATAAATGTTTTATTAAATACAATATGATTAAAAAACTAATATAGTAAATAATATTTGATAACACCCACCATTTTGTTTCTCACATAAACGAGATATGCAAAACTTATTGTATAATTTGTAATACGTTTTATATGCTAAATTTTCAATTTGATGATTTAAGATATCTCTACATTACATTTAATCATGAATAAACTCTTTCTACTTCTCTATATTATTGGCTTGCTACATAATACGTATATAGTAGCATATCATACTGCACACACTGAGAGGGAAAGAAACTTGATTCTTGAATTGAAAAATTGAAAAGTAGTTCTGTTAAATATGATCTACTACACAGTAAAAATTAATATTTTTGAAAGATTTCAACATATTTTATGTATGTGCCTTGCGTTGTTAAAATCAACATTTTAAATTAATCATAAAGCTGCTTAATTTTTTTCTCCCTTAATAGATGATCGAAAACACACAGAATTCATTGAAAAGTTTATTTTAAGGTCGTTAATATGTATTACATCACAATGATCACATCCAATGATACAGAATTTTAATTTTGAAATTCAAATTGTCAATTTAGATTGATAGTATTCAAAATTAGATAGAATATCGAGTATATTGAAGTTTCTTTCTCATGTTTTATCATTGTATTTAGATATTGTTATGTTTTGATACTCTCAAATTCATAATTTATTTTGTATTTTTTTTCTTGTTTTTCTTCTACAGATGAAGGTGGAATCAATGAATCCGACTTTTGAAAAAACTAAACTGCAACCGGGAATAATGTGGGAGCTGTGATCATGGGGTCCACTAGCTGTTCTAGTTATCTTTCATTGTAGATTCTAGGTTTCTAATAAGATTCAAGTGTTTGTAATGAGACCTTGTGGATTCAAGGTTTGTAATAACATTTAAGGTTTCTCTTGGGTTTAAAATTTCTGACGGACTATTTATAGTTGAATTTTTTTGTTTATATTGTTTACTCAAATTTGACTGTCAATTTTATAATATTCTGAATAGAAATATACAAAACTACAAAAAGTTCAATGAAAATTTTTATTGGAAAGTGATATTGCAATTTGAGCTAGTGCAACAATTAATACGCTCTACCTCAGTGGAATTTACTTTTTGTCCCTGATTGCACAGTAATTTAGTCTTTTTCAGGTAAACTGAGGAAAAAGAGGCAATTTAATATTTTCACATGATCCGTATATGATATCTCAATCAAACGAGAGAAATAATGTCATTAAGATGCATAAAATATCACGAGCAAGTAAATCATACGCTAATGTCCCCTCTCCTTGAACAAAAAGAAATAACAAAATGAGAATGTATTCATATTAACATCTCAAGAACTGAAGAACAAACAAAGCAATGTTTCTCTATATCTCTGCTACTAATGACCATAACACACCATATGACATTTAAACTGTATATAAACGTCAACCTTTTGATAAATAAATTGCAAGCCAGGACAAAATGAAGGAGCTGAACACAAGAATCTACTCTTTACCTGATAAAGGAGAAAGTAAATACATGGAGCATTCTCGTCTCCCCCCATTTGTAGCTCTATCAGACGCATTCTCCAACAACAAGCGAAATTAAAGAATTAATCAGTTGAGCTTCAGTAGAGAAATTCAAATAAAACCATCTAGAATTACCTTGGATATTACATTTAAACATACCATGATGAAAATTCAAACAATATGATAAGAATTCGGACAAGCACACCAAGAAATATCAAACTAAATTGATTCCATCAATTGTCCCAACTTGTATTATCAGTCCAACTTTATTCATCAAGGAATATGTATGCGCACCTGTTACTTGCAAGAATACTATTTCAATTGTTTCATCGACCTATTTCGAAAAATAAATATTCAACTCATAATGAGCAATCCTTCCGATAAAGACTGGATAGTCAAGTAACCAGATACATATCAACGGTAACCAGGAATAGAACAAACCGTGAACCTAGTCAATTGGAAAGAATGAATAAACAATACCAAAAACAATGCTGAAGCCAGTCGAAGAAATCAGAATTTTAAAATCAGGTCATATAACTAAATGGATCAACAGAGTTACCATACAACAAACAATTGAAGTGAGTAGGCTATAACTTTGCATTGCCTCTTCCTTGAACTCTTGACTCTTCTCATCAGTTTTGACCTTTAAGTATTTGCTAGGGCAGATGACAAAGAGAGGAAACAGAGTGAGAAAATGAAGATTACAAGTAATTTTAAGTAAGAAGTTTGAGATAGGGTCCTCACCACAGGAGTTTAAGGGGCTTACCAAAGCTTTCCATGTGCACAAGAAATTTAGACATGAACAAGCGCAATCCTTCATCACATAACTATGGAGGGAATGAATGAACTTAACTGCAAAAGAATCGTTCCCAACTCGCACATAAAAATTGTAACTGTAGCTTCAATTGCATCTATAACTACACATAAAATTTGCAAAAACCAGCTATAATTGCAACTGTCTGTTTCGCTGCAACTGCAAACTTTCTGCAGTTGCAAAATAAATTGGAAAAATGAATTATAATCAAATAGACTGTAGGTCCTCGCAATAGACTTCAGTTTGCAATTAGACTGCCAAAAAGGCTACAAGTCTAGTGAGATAAATAGTTACAATTGCATATACAATTGTCTCAAAAAATGGCAACTGGAGCAATTAGCTAGAGAAACTGCTACACAGTCTGAATTCAGTAAACAGCTCCAATCAAGTGTCAGTCTATATATGAATACATTATTTTGCTCTTGTTTATTAGAAGGTTAATGATTCCTATTAAATTTAGCACATGAAGTAAATCTTGTGCTTATTTGAACAAAAATAATCTGATCTTGTTAACCTTGAAGATTTTTTCTGATAAATGCTCTACAGAAAATAACTCGAAAATTTTTCTCAAAAAAAAAAGAAAAAGAAAAAGAAAACAATTTGATTCTAAACCTAATTGAGTGACCAATACTTTTGATAACACCATCATTTATTTTCTCACATAACAAGAGAACGCCAAGAAAATAGCGTATCTGTAAGATATATCTTTCCCATGCTATTTTTCAGCTGATTAAAGATATCACTATGGTACATTCTAATTATTAAATAAATTCTTTTTTTACTTTTCTGAATAATTGTGTTTGTGTGTGTTCAAGGTCTTTTCTCATGGTTTAATTAAATGTTAGTACAATTCACTACTTAAAATACCATTCAGTTATATACTTCTCAATGATACTCATTTAGTATTTTGATTTTTTTTCTTCCACATGTTTTTCTTCCACAGTTGAAGGCAGAATCGATGATCTCAGCTTTTGAAAATTGGTCAGCAACTTGTAGTGTGGAGATGTGATCAATTCACATATTATTTTTAACACTTTAAAGAATTTGTAATACTTTAGATCAAGTGTCTTTTGCTTGTGAATTCAAAGTTCCTAATGAGTTTAAAACATATGATGGATTTCCAATAATTTATGGCTGAACTTCTCGACTTGTATCATTTCTTCACGTTTCTGTTTCTATTAACTCTACAGTATTCCAAAACTTCCAAGCTTCTGTGGAGAGATGTCAATCAATATGAATCAGCTTCACATCCTAGAATCCTCGTTTCACTTTAAACCCAGAATGAGCTATATGATAAAGATTTAAACTGAGCCTGGATAAAATCAACTGAAAACTATGTATATATTGTTTTGTACATATCAAAGTAAGAGTGCATACTGCAATACCACAATAATTCCCTGAATTGGATCTCAGTCTAAGAAACAGAGTAACAATGCTTCGAATAGGAAAAAGAAGATACCTAGCTTGCAGAAAATAATGAGAGAATTTTCACTTACAGGATATAAGCAAAATAATGTCATGGAGGGTATCACAGAAAAGTTCAGATGAGTAAACAACCCCTCCTCGAGATAACATCTAGTTTTAAAGCACAAGTTAACAACCAGAGTTAATAACATGATAGATTTAACCATGATAATGCATTCACTAAAACAAACAAGCAGGTCAGTATAAAATCATATGAATAAAAAGGGGAAAAGGGAGCAATCTTAATCAGATACCTGAAATTGCAAGTATATCTCACACCATATCTATGCTAGTAAGTAGTAACCTTTGGCATCAGAAACAACATGCAAACAAGCCGACAATAACACATAAGACACAGAGAAAAGCTTATAATATGATCAAGTTTGTCCAAATGCACAATAAACTGCATTACAGAAAGTGCGTGTGTGCAAAAAACTTGGATGCAGATAGTTTAAGTGAAAATATGCCAAGCACAAAAACCCAAGAAAAAGAGATACAGTGTGAATATTTCTTTATAAACATCAATAAATAATTTTAGCAACATCTTGCATGACACCATTGATGGGCAATTAGAAAAGATCAAACTGTTCTGGTTATTCTCGGCAGAATATATGAAAGAGTAAAATAGTACAAATTAGAGGAAATCAAACGGATTAAATATAATGTCATTGAAATATCCCCGTAACCACATTCACTCTTCCATTATAAGTTCAACAGAAGTTTCACACCAGGGATGCAAAGTACAAACAAAACACAATCTATTCCAAAGTGTTACTACTTAATTCACCAACTAAAGCCAAATTACCTCCTGCATCTGTACTTACAAGATAATGCAATATTGTTTTTCAGGGATCTGGTGTTGATCAAGGTGTGAAGTATTGGCTGAGATCGATATGTACTGTGTTGTATCAGAATTTAAGCATTCTGATTCGATCCACCTGAAATCTGTTGATATCAGAGATATCAACTAACAACAACTAATTTTGAAGTTCTGATATTTGAAATACACAACATTGAAAAATAAATAAATACCAAAATTAACAGCACAATAGGAGAACATTACTACTTATTTCACCAAGTAAACCAGATCCCTCTTGCATCTATATCTACAAGGTCCTGCAAAATTATTTTGCAGGGAATGAGTGAGCAACTATCAGTTCTCAAACTTTTTGAACTCAGATCTAAAGTATTAGAAGGTACAAATATGCATCCATCGTGCCATATCAAAACTTAAGCATTTTGATCTGATCCAGCCAAAACTTGACTAATTTTGAGGAGATTTGAGGATTAAACTACAAAGATATGATTTAAAATGATATTAGAGAACAATAACAAAAGAATCAATGAATAGAAATCTTTTGATCAAATTGACTTATTAAATATACTGATAATCGCATTGTCATCAGAACCATCGAAACTCACAATACCGACACCAGTCAAGGCAAAGGAACCACAATTTATACCAAGATTCCAAACTTTGTTATGTAAAATTACATCTTAAGTACAAATAGATGTTTATATGCTCTAGTACTACAAGGAAGGATCATTATTGCATTTAGGAAGTCAATTGAATTTTCCTTCTCAATCAATGAAAGATTCCATCTTGCGCTAATTTGGATGATGTATTGAATAGAATGACTATATGAAAAAATAGAAATGAAGATATATGATATATGAACGATTAACAACAAAACATCGTGATATAGAAAGTTAGAAACCACATATAATGTAATTTACAATAAGATTTGGAACAGTACCAGTTGAGACATTATCCAAACAAAATGTCACTGGTGACCATGCCATCAAGGCCTTCCAAAAATTGACGATTTACAAAGGATTAACAAAATTATTAGTAGAACCTTCTTCTTCAACCAAAAACAGTTAACAAAAGTACCCACATGATTCCTTCCAAAAACATGTGCAATTATGGGTCATCTTGTCTACCCTACAGGCCTACACATCTCCAAACCCATAATCAAGGCTGAGCTCCCTCATAGGAGGAATATTCTCCATTGCAAATATCATCAAACGAGGATATGCAACATTGTAGTGATCAACCAATACAAACTGCACAAAACAATTCGGGGAACTACGATGGCTCATGTAACAAGCAACATTCCTTGCTCTCAACACATCTATAAAATATCCCACATAAGGCAAAGAAGGAAACTTTGGTTTTTCATAATCCGATTTAACCATAGATAAGTCTCCCCATTCTTCCCATCTTCTTGGAAGCCGGTTAGGATCTACCAAAATGAGACCATTCCTCGCTTCGAGTTCCAATTGTTCCATTGCAAACAAACTCCCACTAAACTCGCAGACAAATTCCCCAGCGAGGATAATATCTAGTGATCTTACTGCCCATCTCCCCTCACTTGACCTAAAAATTTCTAACTGATGCCTCAACCCCTTTTGGCTAACTCTATTCACACAACTTGGGGGGCATCCACAATATCTCCCACATTCATATACCAAAGGCTTCCCTTTCAAAAGTCTTCCATACAAATCATATGCAAACTCCCCTCCATTCCTGTTAACGCACACACAACCAACTGAACAAACTGATTGACATTTACAACCCCTGCCCCCAGGTTTCCTTACAAAAGAAGCAAACTCGGGAGAAACTAAATACTCACACAACAAAGGATCACAATTACTATCGACATCATTGAACACCGCCACCGGTTCTTTCTCCTTCCCCTGTGAGATATCAAGACTCAAATACCCATTTGGCCTAACACCCAATGCATTCTTCTTCAACTCCTCAGCAAGCTTGATTGCTGAGCTCCCCATCACTTCCTGTCCCTCGATCCTAACGAGCTTAAACTTAAAAACAACAAACCCCGACTTCCCTATCTCACTCAAACACTCCACAACCCTATACAATCCATCATAAACATAAACCCTCTTCGTTGGACTCCTCTCACAGTCCAACCCTCGAATAACCCTAATCTCAATCCCATAATTACAACTCCTCTCCAATGCAAGATTCCCGTCTTTAAGCTCCTGACCGACACTCTGTTTTCTAGCATTCTTCCCTTGCCTACCTCCATGGCCAGTATAAAAAATTACCTCGCCTCGGTCCTCATCATCCTCATACCCACCGGAAAAGACAATGCTGGTGGCGATCGGTTCTCCAGCGGCGACGTAATCGATGCCCGCTTGTAAGTGGCCATGGAGGCCGAGGACGCAGAGCTCCATCCGGAAGAAGAAGACGTCGCCAATGCGGGTCCCGGGGATGAACCCGACGGTGCGGCGGTCTCGATTAAGCCATAGGCCGGCGTCGGCCATGAGAAGTGCGCCGTCAAGATCGGTCTTGTTCTCTTCCGTCGCGATTGGGGATTGTGAGTGCTGTTGTCTGGATTCAGGTGGATTAGGATCGATCGTATAGATTCGGGCTCGGGCGGGTGAAGGATCGCCTCGAGGTCTTGGTCGGGGGTTATGGAGGAGATTCGCTGGAGGCGAGGAGCGGGGTTGGGGTTTGCGTTTCTTGAAATGGCGGAACGATGGAGAGCTAGTTAGTTTTAAGGGTTAGGTTTTGGAAGGTGAGGGAGAGGGGGGGAGGGGGGGCGGCGGGTGCTCGTCCGGAGAGGTTTTGAGGAGGAAATGGAGGGAGAGGATTGGGATGGGGAGGTGGGGTTAGGGTTTTGGGAATTGGGTTGAGGAGTGTGGGCCTCCACTTTCGGTGGAGGGGCGGGAAGCTTGAAGAGTGGCGTTCTCCATGGCCGAGACCCCCCCAGGGCGGCGGCGGCGGCGGCGGCGGCGGCGACGGCAGCGAGGAATGAGAGAGTGTTTTCCTCAGTTTGGAGGTCACGTGAGCTGAACAAAATCTATGATGGGAATCTATACAAAAGGCGTTTTCCACGTGTTTCACCTATCCTTTTCAAAGGCTTTTTTTATAATACCCAACGTACTTATATTTTTGTATTAGTCCCTCAACTTATTGATATTGCCTCTCCAAATTGTTGAGTTATTTAAAATTAGCCCGTCTAATATATGAAATCACTATTCCGTTCCCAAATCATCAAAAGTTATTTAAAATTAATCCCTCAACTAGCTAACACTGCTCTTGATTGAAGGGACTAATTTAAAACAACTTATAGATATAATTGAGCGGCGATAAGTATTTTTGTTTTATTCTAGAATCCACTGTAAAATCCACTGCGAGAGATGAGAGTATTTTCGATTAACGCTAAAAATCGAAGGGAACAGGAGTTAAAAAAGCTTGGTTATTAAAATTGAGAATGAGATTTACGCAGTTGCAGTTGGATATTTGATTTGTCCGGCTGAAAGCAATTTTCCCCAAATCAACCATTTTGCAAACTTTCAAGGAAGTTCCAAGTTTATAACTCTACTTGCGGATATCAACACGTCCATACAAATGTTTCCAATTTAGGTGAGCCTCCTAAATAACCTCCTGAACGTAGCTTTTCTTCATTTGCACAACCTCACACACTTAACATCATAATTCTAAAAATTAAAAGAAAAAGAAAATCATCATGAACGACCCCCTCCTTGATTCTCCCTCTCAACAAGCACCACCAGCTCTCGAGCTTAACACGATCAAAGACATCCTCGTCCGATCCTTCTCCGTCTTCGGTCACAAACTCTGTCCGTTGCTCACCTGCGCAACTTTTCTCCTCATTTTCCGGTTGATCCTCACAACGACAACCTCCACAATCATCGACACAATCAATACAAATTCCTCAATCCAATCCTTTATCTCTTCGTTCTTCGATAACCCACAATCAAAGGCAATCAATGTTTGCTTCAGTGACCATTGCAGAGATGTGCCTCAAATAGTCTACATTCTCGTCATTGCACTTTGCATAAAGCTCTTCCTCCTCATTGCCTACCTTATTGCATACCAGATGGTCATTGGCACTGCATTCTTCGCAGTCTCTGAATACTACGTCGGGCAAGTTGATAGGTTGGAATGCTCAACCCCGAAAACAATCTTTTCGGGTGTAAGGATTGGAGCTTTTCGCCTGAAGAAATTCCTATTTTTATTATGGTTTCTTAGGCAATCATTGATCCTTTTACTTTGCCACATTGTACTTGGAGATGGGACACTCAACAAGTCTGATATGGTAAGTTTCGCTACTGAGGCAATGTTAATGTCATACACATACACGGCGCCGATACCTATTGTGTCGACTACAACCGATAAGTTGGCGACTATTCGGATAGCCTGGGGGTTCTTGGAATCTGTACTTCTGCCCTACATCCTCTTTGTACCTTCTGTCTTGGTGATGGGGAATGTAGGGTTAGGATTTGCGGTAAGAGAAGGGAGTAGCCTTGGACATGTTGTGTCGTCGCGAGATCTGGTGATCAAGATTCATGAGACGATTGTTTGTGGTGCGATAGGGGCGAACGTTTGGTTCTATGTTCTCGGGACGATGTTTGCAAAGGTTTTTATGGCGATAGCGGAAGTTTACTTTTTGGTTATGTACATTGTGCTGTTTTTATCGGCAAAAATGAAGGAACGAGAGGAAGGTGATCAAGAAGGAAGACGGTTTGGTCATGTTGATCTTCAGATGTTTGTCGATTGTTGGGATGTAAAACATGTTCTTCAGAGAATAAGAGCAGGTGGGAGGTGACAAATAGACCCATGTATTGCGTAACTATATATTAAAAGTTTTTTTTTTTATAGTATTGTCATAAATATTAAGAGATTCGTTTTGGTTTTCTTTTCTTTTTTTTGTGGAGGAAGCAAGTAAATAGGGCTAATTGTGTAGAGAGTCTAGAGACCCTACTCAAGTAGGTCAATTGGTGCGGATATACCCCATTGTTACAGATAGACTGATCTGAGTGATAATCTGTTGTTGCAGATAGACCTCCTGAAAAGGGTCAAAAATCTTCACTCAATGGGTCTATCTGCAACAATAGAACTATAAGAGTAGTAAGTGTAGGGTCCTGTTTTGCTTATGTATACCAAGTGTAGGATCGTGACCCTTAAGAATAGAGTGCGCTCTTATAAAAATCTGCGGAAGCTTTACACTTAAACACTAGAGGGTGAGTTTGCAAAGTAGATTATAAATTACAAAGAAAGAATGACAATATCAGAAAATGAACATCACAAACACAAGCATGTATACTGGTTCCACCTCCCCGGTGTACATCCAGTCCCCAAGCAAATCCCATTTGAGATTTCCACTATGATTTTGAAACCTTACAAAATCAAAAGCAAACCTGATCAATTTGCAAGACCATGCAAATTGCAACACCAATTGACAAGACCATGCCAATTGCCACCCAATCTTTAAACCAAGAGATCAACCCTCTCAAACCCGAGAGAAATCCTTTTTGAAGCAAGAACACAATTGATCCTATAAGCCTTGAATGTGTAGTGAAGTGTTGCAGTGGCTTAGGATTCTTTTAACTCTCTGAATATTGCCTATACAATCTCTAAGAATGATTAAAACCAAGGCAATATCAGAAACTCTCTTTTTCTAAACACTTAGCATGAAAATCTGGAAAATTAGAGAGTGAATATGCATAAAATGTTTGATCTTGCAAGTGCAAAACTTGGTTGTTGTTTTCTGATGTTTAAACCTCTTTATAGCCTCTGAAATGACATAATTTTAAACCCAATTAACGTCCACAAAATGGCTATAAACAGTCACTTATTTAAAACCTGAAATCTGGAAAAACTGCATCTGTAGTCGACTACAAGTCATAGTAGTCGACTACACTGAGTCTAAACAGACTCTGTGAAGTCAGAAAATTACTTAGTAGTCGACTACAAGGCATAGTAGTCGACTACACTGTAAACTCAGATTCTGGAATTTTTCTTTTTAGTATTTTGACTATAACTTTCTCATCCGATATCGGAATGAGGTGATTTAAGATTTGTTGGAAAGCTCTTGAAGAGACCTACAACTTTGGTCTTTTGAGTTTTTCCAGATTCTAATTGCTAAGGGGTGTAAATGAAATGTTTTAAGACTCACTCAATATTTATAAACTCTAATGGCTAACATAGGGGATTTCTATTGTTAACCAACACACTAAGCATGTGTTAGTGTGTTCTAACACTATGTGTGTGCATGTGTGTGAGTGATCAAGGCTTGTACAAATTTCTAAGCAAAGAAAATATAAAATTACATTTTGACAATAAAGTATATTTTCTTCTTTGCGTCATTTTGCCTTGAACTCATCTATGTCTTGAGTATCTCTTTGAAAATAATTGTTGATATAGCTCTGATACTGCAAAACAAATGTTAACACATAATACACACAATATATAATATTTGTTATCATCAAAATAAACTAATCTTGGGGTCAAGGTTCCTAACAGTAAGATCACTCTGGCGATAGTACGAGGTCTACCCACAATTCACCCATGTAAATATGTAAGTCGCGATAGTGTTGAACAATGAAAGAGTCAGACTATTAACTTGTGTATATGCACGGGCAGCGAAGGATGTCTATCCACTAATTGCAGATTCTATAAAAATGAAGAAATCTGAAATAATAGAATGGTAAAAAAAATTTAGGGGAAAAATAATTGCTTTAATCAAATATCTTGTAGATAAAGATGGAGCTATGAGGGGGAGGCGGCAGAGGAAATGCAATTACTGGATAACTTACATACAGTCATATCAGAACCCCCTCTACGCGAACTGTCGCCTTCTATCCCCTGAACGACACATATCGCCGCTCCTCTATATATGGGGCATTCGTAGAAAAATTGTCACGACCCCAATTTCCGAACCTAAAAGGGAATATTGGAGCCGGACTAAACCTGTGAAAAATCCTCAAAAAATATACATTCATTAAAAGACCATCAAAATAATCTCTTCATTGAACTAAAACCAACAATAAATATTCTCTATAATCCCAAAAGTCAACATTAATCTCATTAACTTAATATAAACAAATATTCCTCAACTTGAAATAAAACTTGACCTAAAGGAAAGAATCTCATTATTACAAAACTCTCAATTTATCAACTAAACATCAAAGAATTTATTTAACCTTGACCTAGAAGACAATAACAATCTCGAATTATATTTCTTGCTCCGTTCTAAGAATTTGAAAAATCATCAACTCCACCTAATCTCGAGTCTCTGAAAAGAATGAAAACAACACAAATAGTTCACAGCTCAATAAGTGGATAAATTCATACATTAAACACTGATTTTGTAGAACTAAAATAAATTGACTTGATAAGCAAAATACTAAAATAGTAAAAAAAATTATAATGCAATGTTTTTAAAATATATACATGAAATGGAAATAAGCAGATCACGTCTAAATGCGGTCAACACTTTGATACTCCGGTTGACTTGGCAAACCCACTATTATATAGCCTGTGGTCGGGACGGTGAGACTCAAACTTGGGCTCTTAGCGCTAAAATAAAAACCTCATAGAGGCACATTGAATCTTGTTTAGATGACTTACTTATCCCCAACATATACTGGTATATTGACCTGAGATGCATATGCTTTAAGAAAATTAAATAAAGTTCGTAAAACTAAATATGTTATACAAAAATATCAAAGGCTAACCAATATTGAAATCAATCAACCACATATGCATCTCAACCTACTACTATATGAAAAGACATAATAATTAACAAAGAAAATAAGCATAGACTTATACCAAAGATCCATGTGCGTCACATCTGAATCAAAATTTAACATGCGAGTAAATCACACAAAGGGATATAATCCATCAAAAATAAATTTTTATATAATTAATATAATTTTATATAAAAAATACGTAGTGCACAATGCATGAATTCACCACTTACAACAAATCAAAGATAATCCAACTACCCCTCACAACACTTCCTCGGAGTTACGTCAAAACCCTAAATAAAACATACAAAATAATCATCAATACAACATCCCACTAATAATGATACATAACACATATCAAATCATTTAATACGACTATAGTATAACAACAACCTAGTACCCCAATTGTTACAGCTCTAGCATGAAAAAGTACCCCAATTGTTACAGCTCTAGCATGAAAAAGAAATAAATTTTTTTAAACAACTAGGTCGGATCATGACTAATCCACACAAACAGACAAAAAGAGCAATTAAGATTGCTCCATCTATGACATTGTCTATGCATCCTGATGATATTAATTTGTGATGCCAAGATGGGGATTAGATAGAGGTAATACCTTGATTTTTTTTTTGTCCATTTCTCC